TAAGTATAGTATAATATACCCCCAACCCTATTCTAATTATCAAGGCCCCGAATAATATTAACCCATTCAGAAACTTCTGCCTTCCGGCTGAGATGCCAGAACCACCAGAGCGTTCAATGAGCCCAAGGCGTAGATCAAGTGGCCTTGGCTGCGTGTGCAGGCATGCGTTGACATGCTGCAAGGGTGTTTTCCCCTCTCGCATGGCAGAGAACAAAGCTCACAGGCTGCAAGGGTTTGGGGTTGGGGGTTGGGGCTTGAAATCTTGAGAGTCGGCTTAGGTCTTTTAAGGCCGACCGGCAAAAAGTCGGTGACTGCAACGGCTACAGCACCAATTGTTCCATTTTACAAGTACAGTCTTCAGGAGACAAGCGCTGTCTCGAGGGGGTTTGTGCGCTGATGGATCCATGAAGTCTTTGCCCAAAAGCAACCCTAAAACTCAAACCGATGGTCAGGTTCCGCAGGCAACCGCCCGAGAATCAAGCCCACACTCGATGCGGGGGTTTCAGGACTGCTCGAAATTTGGGTGCAGAGCCCTGACCTGATTCCTACGCACCTCTAAACCTCCCCCATCAAGCCCAAAGTTTTTAATTCAGGGCACCCCAAAACATGGGAATTTGAGATCAAAAGCCTGCAAGCTATCAGCCCGAGAAGCGCTTCGTCAGCAGCGCATTGGCAATCTGCAGTCTCATGTGGTTCGGCCGCGTCAGCAAGCCGTACCTGTCAACATAGGCCAGCTGGCTGGGTGGATGCGTGCGTCACAGGCAGTAGATGCCAAGAACACGGTGTCGACCTCAATGCATTGTGGAACTTACTTGGCTGAGGGACAAGGAGACGAGAACTGATGCACACTTTTGCCGGATCAACCAGAGACTGCGCCCGCGATTGGAAAAAGGGTGGCGCCAGGGTTTCCTTCGTCCTGGGAGTTTCGCGACGTGTTTATAATACCCGCGAGTACTTATAATAATGAAAGGATGCTAGCAGCGGCCGAAGACGCACGTGTAGATCCCTACACATCTGGAGCTCAGGACGTCACAAAGATCAAAACCCCAGGCACGGTTTAGGGTTGTTAAACCCTAGGGCCCTAGGGTCCAGTCATCCGAATAATGGGCTACTGGATTACACATCTTCTGGTTAGACCTACTATTTGAGCAACTGGATGGAGCCCCAGGGAATAAAATGGACCTAATGTAGGGGCCTCAATAATTAGGGTTTTGGGGGCTCCTTCTTATCATTATAATTTAATATACCCCAAACCCTATTCTAATTAAAATTATTAAGGCCCAAAGAGAAAAAAATCAAGGCTTCCGAGGGACCAGAGGCCCGAGAAGACGCAAACGAGCACCAGCAGCTGCCTGAGCGCTACGGTTTGGGGCTTCGGATGTTTTAGGGTTTAGGGCGAAAGTTTGGGGTGTAGGACTTTTTAGGGCTTTGATCTAGGGATCAGAGTTTTAGAGTTTGACTCTGGGTTCCGGGTTTGGGATGCGATTTTGGCTTCACGGTTGAAAGCCCAGTTTTTATGGTTGGGTTGGCTACGATGCTGGGTTGCGCCTCGAGGGCGCGGAAGCCTGGCAAACCCAATACAGCAGCCTCTAGACAAGCCGTGTTCCTTGCACTGTCCGAGTTGATTTCAGTTCTTCGGTGTGCGTCGTAGGAGCCCTGGGTCTGCTACTGGACGTGCAGAACGCTTCTTGGAGAATCATGAGACTTCAGAAATGTACATAAACACCATCATAGGTACACCTATCTCGGCTGCACTACTTGCATAAGATCTTGCAAGTTCAAGGCCATTTAAGGCTACCTATGACCTATGACAAACGGGCGTAGTTCCCTGATGCGTTGAAGAATGCAAGCAAAAACGCCGAAAGCTCGCAGGAGACAAACGGGAACCGTGTCTGATCAATCTCTCAACATTTCCGCATATATATATATATATATGTCGCGAGCACCCGCCTCCTCTGTGGTATTCCAGATTTTGCTCTCCCCGAACTAAACTAATCATGAATCATGAACAACCACGTTGCAGAATATGCTCCCTCCCAAAATATTCCAGCACACTGGCTCGTCCCTTCGGACATCTTGAGCATTGCTCTCTGCTCGGAAGGCTCTGCACACACCAGCACAAGGAAGGCATCTTTGCGTGATGTTGCATGCGGGCTTAGGCAAGCGGCGGGTATACCACGATGGAGGTCAGGGCAAAGACGGCAAGGCATACCGCATAGTTCACGCCTTGAAGGCTTGTTAGTTGGGCTTGGCAGCGGCTTTCTCGGTTCCGTGCTGGGTTTCGTATGCCGAGACAACAGCAACACTGACCTTTAGGCCTGTGCATACTTCAAGGCACACTTTTTGTAGATTAACAACATGCCATAGACAGCTGGGCTCATCCCCACCGTCTGCACAGAGCGAACAACCACAAAAACAACATAACAACACGAAACAACTCCGGCCACGAGATGTTGTCTAGCCACTGAAGTAATCAAGGTTGGCTGTGATTCGCGGCACAACCTCCTCCGGCTTCGGCACGTTGAAGACCTTCAAGCAGTGAGGCGAATTGGGGCTCGTTTCTCTGAAGATTCGTCGAGGCTCCGGGTCTAGGATTGTGACTCTTGTGCAGTCTTCTGAAAGGGGTGAGGGATCAAAAAAAATTAAATGAGGATCAAAAAAATTAAACCACAAAGATCAAACAACAAATTAAAACCATGATCAAAAAATAATTAACGCAGTAGGTATGCAACAAAGCTTGGAGAAAATCTAGGGGTTGCGGATCAAAAAAAATTAAACCAGGATCAAAAAAAAACTAAACGGGGATCAGTAATAGTCGTAGCAGTACTAGTGGTAGTAGTCCAAGTAGTAGTACTAGTAGTAGTAGTAGTAGTAGTAGTAGTAGTAGTAGTATTGGTAGTAGTAGTATTGGTAGTAGTAGTAGTAGTAGTAGTAGTAGTAGTAGCAGTAGTAGTAGCAGTAGTAGTAGTAGTAGTAGTA